TAAGACATCCGCCGGTTTCATTTGTATATCCAGGGTAGCATCTTTTTCCATGTCTTTCTTGTAGCCTGTCATTTTTAAATCCACTTTCAGATCAGTCTCGATCTTGTCAGGTAAAACTTGTTTCTCTTTCATAACATCTTTTAAACACAATCTATCTATAGAGGCAGACTCTCTTAAAATTAACTCATAGGTACATTGTTCAAAAACATCCTTCAATATGTCCAATGTTAAAATATTTTGCTTCATTCTGTAATTGTGAGTGTTCTTCTCCTTTAATTATAATCTTTAGTTCCCTCTAGTACCCTCTAATGTCCAGTTTTTAAAGTCTTATATTATTATTATTTTTTAAAAAATTCAAAACAAAAGCATTTTTCCATGGAAAGGATTCTTTCTTATTAATTCCAAAATGTTATTTCAAATTTATCTGGACCCTTAGTCCATTTGTAACTTTCTAAAATCAAAGTTTTAATCACCCTTTTGCTGTTTATTCCAAAAACATTTTTTTTCAAAAGCATTTTTCCATGGAAAGGATTCTTTCTTATTAATTCCAAAATGTTATTTCAAATTTATCTGGACCCTTAGTCCATTTGTAACTTTCTAAAATCAAAGTTTTAATCACCCTTTTGCTGTTTATTCCAAAAACATTTTTTTTTTAGTTCTTAAACTTGTAGTTAAAACTTCTTTCACTAAGGATTGAGAGAAACTCAGTAAGGAAGGAAGGAAGAAGGAAACTGTCTGGAGCAGTTGTGGGCAATCTCAAATCCTCTCCTTGTCCGGAGAGGATTTATGAAGAGCAGTCTTGCTCAAACTATGGTTGGCGCCTTTGAAAGGACACTGGAGACTTTCAAACAGAAGTTGGATGGTTATCTGTCAGAGATGTTCTAGAAGATCTTGCTCTAAGCAGGGGATTGAATTAGATAACCCAATGGTTCCTTTCAACTCTCTGCTTCTATTCTATGATTCTGTGAACCCTTTCAGATAGGTACAAGTTTATTCTTAAATATATAATGCAATAGAGAAGAGAACTGGAAATGGATCTGATCTATCAGTCCTTGGTTTTAATTTTATTTCAAGTCACAGATTTGAAATACACATATAGTGCATACCCCTTTGTGAAGGTATACTCATTTTTTCCTTGGAGTTTTTAACACACAAATGTCCACACACTTGCAGTTTCACAGAATTTCAGCTCATCAGTCTTGGGGATGTGAAAGTAGAGACTCTTCACAGTTTACATCTTTTCAACATGATCTCAGCTATCCAAGGAGATGATGCTTCAGGAAGCCAAAAAGGGAAGACACATAGTAGACACCAGGCCTGGTTCATCAATTTTACTAGCAACATCTTCCAAACATTCTTGGAGTAGCAGAAGAAAGTTAACTGTGGAGTCCTGGGGGTTCTCTGAGCTTGGTTCTTTTCTTGCAAACATTTCATTACCTGGCTAGGTAACATCTTC